AAAATCCTTTGTGTTACGGCATTGAAATTCGAACAATACGTTATTTCAATGATTTTGGTTTTTTTTGAGACACCCTGTACAGGGTGTATCAAAAAAAGTACTGAAATTGCTCTCAATTCCACAATTCTGTTCATGAAATGTAATTTTTGCTATATATGGATTGCTTGAGTTCTTAAATTATGGAAAATATAAAAATTTTTGGGGTGGTCAACTTTTGCTCCCCTAAAAGTGGCTTGCGCACGGAAATGAGAAACGGTATTCTTTATTTGAGTTCATGTATGAAAAGCTCGCTATTTGTTGCATTTATGATAAAATTTCGGCAGGATTTTACCGAGTACAAATCCTCCGAAAAGCCTATGAAAACGTTACATTTTTCTCTGTTGCTGCTGTTCTTGCTTCATTATGAATTCATTTTTACTCCCATGAGAGTTCCATGGAATTTCCATGAACTGCTACAATACATGGAACTGCTACAATAATCGGGGTATACATAGGAGGCTAGGGTATACATAAATGTTGACAAAGCCTATGGTGCAGAACATAGATACTTAACAGTTATGCACCGATCAATGTTTTCCCCCTGAGGGGAGGGGGGTGCGGGCAACCCAGGGGAATTTTGACATTTTTAAAATTTTGTTGTCAAAATCCCCACTGTTGGGCAAGGAACAACTGTTAAAATTCCCCACTATATTCCTAATATAATAATAACAAGGCACACAGATGTTTTCCAATGATAACAGTTAACAGAAGTCTGACTCAGCAAAAAAGTATAACCCACTGCACCAGCAATGATTCATCATCAAAATGCACTGATTTTATTTGCCAGTGTGCTTACAAAAGGCATTCACCTCCCTGAGTTTCTGCCTTTTTTGAATATTTTCAGGAGGTGAATGCCTCTCATAAGTGGACTGGGCATATGGATACATGGTGACATCATTGCAAAATGAAGTTACACCAAAATCATAGCCACAAGCGGCAACAAGAAATCGGACTTCAGTATGTGCATGTTCATTCTGCCTATGGCTACAGTATGGTCATTCTGCCTATGGTTATATCCATGGGCAAGAATTTAGACAACATATATGTATCAATTAAAGCTCGAATTAAAGGACTACAAAACAATGAAAAATTATATAACTTCTGCTTTGACTGCAATAAAAACACAAAAACCAGTTCTGAAGCAATAGACTGCAAAATTTATGTATATATTTTTTTATTTTCACCAATTGCATGGTTTTCATACAACCTGTCTGCTATAGCTGTCATTGATCACTGATTTGCTGTATTAAACGTAAAACGCTGGCAAAAGTATAAATTAGCCGCCACGTTTTTATAGTGGCATTTCACCTCGAGCAGACGGGTTAAACTCAAACACAAGTCTGACAGAATTTTAAGTGTTGTCGTTTGGAATAATAAACAGACGACTTTAATTTTTTACTCGTCCATCTAGCTATTATAAAATTTCACCTTCTAAATGACCAATATCTACATAGACTATGCCGATGAATATTAATATATCGAATATAGTATTAATATTATCCAAATTAGTTTCATTTATTAAAAGTTCAAGCAAGTCGATTGCATGTGGACAGGCGGACGCGAGGTGGATAGCGTGCTTTTAATCTCCAACAATGATATATTATAAACGACTTTAAACAGTAATTTCACGCATAAATACAAGCTTTAACACTCACCTTTCGAAATATTGGATGCTCGTTCAAGGATGGCATAGTATTCCGGTCATTTTTGCATAAAATTTGAGCACATTAAACACAAACAAAAGACAAAACCTTAGGCATTCCATTTTCAATTATTTCAAATAATCAAAATTCAAAATGAAGCGGTAAAATAATAAATTAGGGGGGTCACGTCATTTCAAGGGGCTTGTTTTGATTAAAGGGACATGATGCATTTTCCATGATTTTAGTAATCAGTTTTCAAGGATTTTTCATTGTTTACCGTACTTTCTTTGCATTTACGAAGTTCCTTCATGGTATACGGGTATTATATAGCTAAAGACGCAGTTTTTTAGGAAATCAGCTGGACCGGGACGAGAACGACTGCAGGGGCGCCAGAAGCAAGGGAAGTGGTGGGGGCAGCTAGGAAGGCGAAAATTTCTCTTTCACTTTTTTTTATATAGTTGAAAAACTTGGTAATGTTTCTCAGAGGAATTTAAGATTCAAGCTCAAGCTGAATTGCTTGAAACACACGACTTGCGAAGTCTAACGTACGAATAACGCACGACTTTCGAAGTATATAGATCGATCTTGTAAAAAAAACACATTGCTGACCCTGCACTTTTTGGGCAACGACCAACGGGGGCAGCTGCCACCGTGGCTCCAGTGCACCCATATGAACGAGTTGATGAATTATGAATCTCATATGAAGGAACAGGTACTCAGAACATTCATAACTCATCCATCCTTCACCGTGAATACAAACATGAATTGCAAGTGTAAAGGCCCGGTCACACTACACAACAATAACGATACGATAAATTGTAAACACGCGATAATTGGCAAAAAACCTGTGTCCACACCACAACGAAAATGATAAACTTATCGTTGAACGATAACGATTTTAAAATCGTTCAACTGAGCGATTTTTTTTTCAGTCGGACGATAACGATAACTTTTTGACCAATCAGCGCGCGTATACAAGTTATCGTATCGTTATCGTTGTGTGGTGTGACCTGGGCTTAAAGGGGCCCTACAGTATTTTTTTAGTCGGAAAGCCACCTTAAGTATTGTTTACATTTTTTTGTTATTGTCGCTACTTGACGTGCGCATCACGGCATGCATGTGTCTTCCGGTGTGCGGAAGTACTCATACTCATGGTGATACTGCATGTAGGATACAGCCAAACGATATCCGTGGAGTCCCCTACTTAAGGTGGCTTTTCGACTAAAAAATTACTGTAGAGCCTCTTTAAAACGGGCCTCTGTGCATGATTGTGAGTCGGAAATTGTATGTAGCAAAAACTGCATCCTCGTGTAATTACATATATTGTCTTTAACTACTTTCACTTATTTAATCTATGGTCAGCCTTAGGCCTACATACGTACTATTGTGACTATTGTTACAGATTGAAATTGGTCGGGCTGAGTTTTCAGCCATTCACTGACTTTCATTAAATATTAAAAACAAAATATCTTTAATTAAAGTTGATCCAAAATCCTGTTGAAACTTGAAACATATTGTACAAAAATGACCCCGTCTCCTGATTTTTGGTCACAGGCGTCCTACGTCCTTCTATTCCTTTCGCTACTCATCTTATCTTCTAAAATAGCCAAAGCCAACTTTTCCATCGCATCCAAAAGACAAATTAGACCTCTGCACGTGCTTCTGAGCGGGTCGAAAACCTTAGCGTACGCTTCGTCCAGCCATCGTGTAATTAAGGATCCCTGGGAACGACGAGGACCAGTATTAAAGCTCTCAATCCATATGTTGAAATCTATTTCCATATTCGTTGTCCAGAAGAAGCTTCGCATGTGTTCCTGGAATTGTGGTGTCATCATTCCGAACTCATCCGAATCTTTCTCAGGAAGTCCAAGATAATACCTGTATGATTCGACTACCATGAAGATGAAAATATTCATGGATTCTTTGAACTCCGCAATGTGAAGAAGAATTGAACCAGACTGTTTTAACATGTCCAAATACATCTTAATAATGTCTGCAAAGAAGGGAAATGTAATAAAAACGGGATATAGCGTTTCAGTCATTTTTGTGCATGAAAGCACGTTTATTGCACGATAATGTAGCTATTAATTCAGTTGGCCCAACATCCATTAATGTTATAATGTTCTGTACTACTCCTTTTCGTGAATTATCAACAAAGTTTGCAAAATAAGCAATTAACTAATATTAATTCGACGCCATTTTATACTATCAGAAACGCATTATCCGACATGATGCACTATAAAGATGGGACGAATAAGCGAATAAATTAAGAGACGCTTAAGCTTTTTTTGTTATGCGTCTTCAGTATGAAGACGGGCACACGACACACTATGCGTCCCGCAAAAGAACTATCAGCAATTTGATGGAAATTAGAAGTGAACATATATATATAAAATTTAAGACCTATAGCCAGGAGTAGTTGTAGACTGCGTGTGATGCCAGACTCCTAAAGGAAGTACTTTGAGAGTCTGGGACTGCACACAGGCTAGAGCAGCTGCGAAAAATATAACATTAGGTCTTCTGGCAGGAATCAAACCTGCGGCCCTGCGATTCCGTTGCAGCGCTCTAAAGCCTGGTTTCCATTAAATCGTAATCATCACAATAGTCGCGGAACTCAGACATCGCTATCGCAAAAATTGCAGTAAGTCTATTTTTGCGACGTTGTCTAAGAGTCTCAGTTATCGGCGTGGCGTGACTCAAGTTTCCAATAAATCGCAGTTTTTGCTAAAAATTCGCGTTTTTAAAATCGTTGCGACGCTTGCGATGCGGTTCTAGCGATAATTACAATTTAATGGAAACCAAGCTTAACCGGCAACTGAGCTACAGAGGCCAGTTGTCGAGCTGTAACCACAAGTTCATGTGCCATTTTCGGGTGAGCGGGTTGTGATAAGGTGAATTACTTGAACTGAGACGAACTATATAAGAAGACGGACTACTGACTATAGTTCCTCTAAAGGCATAATCTTGTTTCCGTCTTAATAATATACATGAAACAATTTCTCAGTTGTGGTTGGCTAAGAGCAATGCAATTTTTTCGAAATGCAGTGCGAAAAAATGAAATACAGTGCGAAAAAATGAAATACAGTGCCAAAAAATGAAATACAATGCAAATTTCATTGACTGTAAGATACGGCCATTTCTAGCAGAAAAAAGTACAAAAAACCCAAACATTTACAAGTACAAAAATGGCTGGCGTTTTTAGTAGATATTCTGTATTAAAATTATTTATATCAAAATTAACTACTTCGCATGTGATCTATACGCACGCATATACGACAGCATAATTTTTTCATATATATTATTAATAAGTAATATAGGCCTACTATGGTTTCTCGTGCTATTTGGAAAACATACTGTACACTAGAGGTGTGCATCGGATCGGATTGGACGTTTATAATCCGATAATTGGCTGTTTAAAATCTGATCCGATATTGTCTAATCCGAATCCGATCCGAGTTTTGATAAAGGATTCCGATCCGAAGAATCCTTTAATAAAATAAATTTCTCATTCAAGTGGAAATATTTAACCAAATAAATATGAAAGCAAGGAATACATGTCAAGAAGCTAACAAAGTGACGTCCGGCGTTGTCGAGTATAATTAATTCATTTTATTTCGAATGTCGAAGTCCAATCCGATAGACTACGAAACAACTTTATCAATCCGATCCAATCCGTTATGAATATTATTTTTTGTTCCGAAATGCGAACGAACCGATCGGATCGGATTTGCCCACCTCTACTGTGCACTTGTGAGTTTTTCAAAAATTTTAAATTGATTTTGATCGTCTTTGAAAAACTCACTCGTTATATGTTTTTCCAAAATTTTACTCGAAACCATACTATTACCTATACTTATATAGTGAAGACGCATAACCAGACAGCTACAAATGCTTCCCAAATTCGCTTCTTGCGTCTAAAATCATCCTAACATTATATTGCGTCTGTTTCACCTTCTTTTGGGATACTATGCTTTAAAGAAACTTGCACGCACAGGGTCGCTCATATATGTTTTCAAAATTCGTAGGTATTGAAAATATCACTTTTGTACAATAGTTATTAATGTTGACGAATTACAAAATATCAAAGGAATGAAAATATTCATTTTTCAGGTACTTCAGGCAAAACCACGGGAGCCCATTGTAGAACATTACATAAACCGCGGACCACCACGTTTGAGATATCAATATGTACAGTTGCAAAATTATATTAAAGTTGAAAGTTAGCAAAAAAGTCTGTGTTCGTATAGTGCCATAAAGAGACGTGTGTGAATTAGGTTAAAATTCATTAGCTAATTTGTGTAAAAGTACGCACCCGGCCAATATCACAGTTTTCTTCAAGTTGATTATAGCTAGTTGAAGTATGTGGAGTGATCGCAGAGGTCAGCACGTAAATACTAGAAAATTATTGGAAAACGATGCGACGATCGATGCGATTAATGAATTTGGGAGTTAATCGCACTATTTCAAAACATCATTGACATCATTACAGATCGTAATATTAAGCCGAGGAGGGTGCAATTTGGTCTGAACACTGATCTATATAACCGTATATTTCTCAAATCAGTGGGTCTGAAATCCTATAAAATTTGATCTGTTCCCACTATTTAAAACTTTAACAAATTGTAAAACAGGCTACAACAAATATTTTTCCAGTCTTATCCATAAAGTTTATTGTGTATTGATATTATTTTTCTTACAATAATAACTTATTAAACTAGAAAATTATCGCATACCGTTCCCTGTCTACCAAATCGGTGAGAATACGTACTATATGCTAATTTGTAAAAATCTACCAAAGTGGACAAGTTCGTAATGGCATGTCAGTGAATTAATACTATTATATAACCTTATATAGCTACTTATTTTAAAACCCCAGTCTTAAATTGGCGGAATTTAATTTTCCGCATCCCTATAAATGCGATGTGCATGCAATTAGAAATGCACTGAATAATTGGTTTACTTGTTTCATGTTGAACCTTTCAGTTAATTTACTATATAACTTAAACTCAGTGACTGGGAATTTAATAAATCGTGTAGGAAGTACCCGCGATACAAAAAATTAAGTATCCATACCTAATATGAACACATTTTCGATTGGTCACCTGAAACAAAAGTGATCAGCCTGTTTGGCTTGTTCTTTAGAAATATGATTTCTACAGTTTATTGTCTTTTATTGTCATATAATCAACCAATCACAAAGCCTGTTCATATACGGTAGGCCTTAGGTATACGCAATGACCTATAATGGTCCATGTCAGTTATCTGTATACACGAGCAGTCTCAGTGTCCATAATCAGTAAAGCTACTTCTTCCAGTTCGTTAATACAACGAATGAGGTAACGCGACGTTAAGGTAGCCGATATAGCGCATGCTAGGATTGTTCCCGCAATTGGAATATATTTCACAACCTCTTCAACACCAAGTTCGAGAGCCAATTCACTCGCTATCTCAGCAGCCAACTTCATGGCAGTTTTAATGCTATATCTCAACAGCCTTCCCTTCAACGCTTCGTCCAATTTTTTAAATTCCTCGGAATCATTGCCGGGAAGGCCAAATAGCTTACGGTATTGCACGACCTCCTCCACAATAAGAGCAAGGTCAACAGCTGCTCCTACTCCCGGGATAGGAATTGCGCTTGACGGAGCTGTTGCGGCAGCCATGACACCTGCTCGAACTAAAGTTGGAAAAATTGTATAAAATTAACCGGGAATTATGTTATTAAAAATTAGATTCGTACGTGACTACTTTAAAGCATCAAAATTGTAATCTGAGGCTATAAATCGGGCTCAATTTTGCCCTTCATTATTGTTGTACTATATAGGATCTGAAACTGAAGCCCATATATCGATAAACAGCAGCGGTAGTCGGAGCTCCTGAGAAAATTAACAAGCTATTGACGTTTTCAGATAAAGTCGTTCGTCCCATGGCCATGAAATGTCGTTTTGAAATGTTCTAGCATGTCGACATAATAAAAGGGCCGGTGATTACAGCCAAAATTAAACAATGTAATTGATTCTGTTTGCAGTTATGCAGTGTGTCTCTATATTTCATTTTGCTCGGTAGTTATGGATATACAATTTTGCCATTCTCTTTTGTAATTCTATTTGCTATTTGAACTGGCCAATATGCATTTTTGGGCAATCTGATATTTTCTTGCATGAAATATATAGGTATAATTGGACACGTATACTGATGCAAGACGTTATTGTTAATTCAGGTTCTCGTGCATTTTGCAGTCCTGAAGAATGTCATTTATATATTATAGTCCATCCTTCTTTCTTAGTTTTTTCCTCATGTAGTTTTCAGCAGGCGAAAGGTTATAAAATTCATAAGGATGGCCAGAAAAATCTTCAACTACCGTAGTAAAAACATTTAAAATTGAATTAAGTCTTTACTTTGCACGGTTATAAATTTCGTAGACAAAAATAAGCTAGCACGAAACATAGCATATAACATGTTTTCTGTTGCTTTCCGAGACATTTATTATGAGATGTAGAGATTTTGAAAATGTTATTTCCATTGTCGATATTTTGTGAAAAATCGTGATGTTCGATAATGAACCTGCATGCAGGTTTGTGACTTCTCCTTGTCTCCAAAATTCGGGAACCGCCATTTTTCGGGGCGATCTATTTCCGTTTTTCTGGAGATTTATTCCCCACACTCGTGTGTTAGTCGGCAAAACGGTGTATCCCAGAAAATTATAATTGGCGGTATATTTCCCTAGCTCAAACAATATCAGAATGTTAATGTGCGGAAACATTTTTACAATGCAACCTTCTCTCTCTCACCCCCCCCCCCCCCCCCCCCCCCCCCCCCCCCCCCCACCCCCTCGCCAACAATTTTGGGAAAAGAAATATTAATTAGTGAATGATTGATTCATTGGGGTCGCCACTAATCTATATGAACAGGCTTTGTGATTGGTTGATCATAACAATAAAAGACAATGAACTATAGAAATTACCTTACTAAAAACAAGTCATAAACACTGATCACTATCGTTTCATGAAGCCAATCACAAAACACATCATTTTAGGTTAGTATTTACTCATTCATTGAGAACATTTTCGGGCAACAGACCTCAGCCCCCCCCCCCCCCCCCC